ATATATATAGGCAGATATATAATAATATGTATATGTAGATATATATATGTGGAGATATTTTACTATGACATTATGGAATTAAAAGTCAAATGGAAGAGCAGTAAAGTTGAATATCTGTATTCAAGGCAATGGTATTACTAATGTTTTGTTTTATACTGTTTTATTAAAGCTTATAGATTTTCAGTGGAAACTGGGTATGGCTGTGAGCTCGGACAGTTGCAGATCTCTTAAATATCCTTACGTTGCAGTGGTGCTAAAAGTGGCAGATCATTCAGGTCAAGTAAAGAACAAATCTTTTGAAATGACAATTCCACAGTTTCAGGTTTGTAGATTAATTGAATTTTAGTACATTTTTCTATAATTGTTTTTTAGAAAACTATAAAAATCTTTTAAAGGGAAAGTTTTTATTGTTTTTACTTGCAAGTTGATATGTTTTATATATGTTTGTACACAAAATATTTAAATTTGTTTTATTTTCAATAAAATATGAATTTGTATACTGTTCTGTTTGATTGCTTTAACATTTCTCTATGAGGATATTTTCATTTCCTCTGGCAGGGTATTTGCATTGAACTTACTGTTTTTCCTTTAGGCTTTGTAATCCACAATGATAAGCTAAATGAATCTTTTCTTTCAATAGTGTTGATCCTGTTTTCTGAGTAATGTTTACAAAATGCAGATCAGATCTTGTTGTCTGGTTTTATTAGCTAGAGATTTAAATAACTCAGTAGTTTATATTTAGAGTTATGTTGTTCATACTATCATTTTACCACTTTTTTGTAACTAAGGGAATAAATCAGATTTTCTTTTGAATGTACACCCCAGAAGATGTTTTGTTATTAACAAATTTAACTGGTCTGTACAGTTGTGTTTTTGTTAGTTCTAAACCCTTCAGTTTATAAGTAGATAGGAATTCTTATGTCAGTACTCAAAGAGAAGTTGGATGCTCTGATAAATGCAAACATCATGAATAAAATAAAAATAAAAAGTGAAATAGTTTGTAAAACTAACTAAAAACATGGCATCCTAGGCTTTTTTTAAAAAAAGCCTCATATATCACTATATGGTAATATTTGAATGCTACTTTTAAAAACTGCATTTTAAGAGATTTCTTTCCTTTTGATTTATTTTAAAACATCTTGGCTTTAAAACAAAAATAATAGTAAAAAATAACATTATTAATGTTGATTAGTGTTTGGAAGAAAATAATACTTGGGGGAAAAGGAATAAATATAGTATATAGTTTTTGGGTTTTTTTTGGTACTGGGGATCGAACTCGGGTCCTTGCACTTGCGCAGCAGAAATATAGTATACTGTGATATGTAAGTGGCCTTCAACTGAATATAAAGACCAAATCAGTTTGAAAAGAGAATTTAGGTTTCGGTCCTTTTTTGTAATTTACAACTGCAGGTCTACTTCTTACCTTTCTGTGCAACATTCATGCTAATTTCCACGTCTAGAAAAAGTTTTTTCTCATAGGAAAAAATATAAATAGGCAATCTTTTTCCCCAGCCTTATTGAGGTATAATTGACAAAATTCTGTATTTTCAAAGTGTACAATGAGATGATTAGATAAAAGTATGTGTTGTGTAATGATTACAACAAATGAACACATCTGTTTTCACACATTTTGTGTGTGGTGGGGTAAGGACATTTAAAATCTTTCAGCAATTTCAAATAAACAGTATACTTAATTATTGTCATACTGTACTTTAGAGTGTCAGAACTTTTATAACTGAAAGTTTGTACCTTTTGACCAACATTTCCCCATTTTCTCCATTCCCAGTCCCTGACAGTCACCATTCTACTCTTTTGTTGCCTCTTTTTTGTTTTGTGTTGTTTTTTTCTTAAAGTGCTGGGGATTGAATCCAGAGCCTTTGCATTGAGCTATATCCCACCCCATTTTTTAAAATTTTGAGTCAGGGTCTCGCTAAGTTACTAAGTTGCCCAGGATTAGCACAAATTTGCTATCTGCCTGTCTCAGCCTCCCAGAGTGCTAAAGTTACAGGTGTGTGCCAACACACTCAACTTCTGGTGTGATGTTAAAAAGGAATTTTCTCATGTGCTTGAAAAGGTTTTCTCATGAGCTAATTACCCGTTCTCCAGTTTATATATATAATATATATATAATATACATATTATA